AGCAAGAAAAAAAAATGAATGGATCGTCGGGGTTGATAGGCGGCTATCGTATCACGGCGCCGAGTAAACCTACGCAAACAGCGTTTGATCAGAGTAACGCGATAATGTTTATCCGCGAGAACGTGAGTGGTTTCGAGCATTTAAACTCGGGCGTTTCGTTGGAATTTTTGTTTATGTTGGAGTGTTTGAATATTGTTGCTTCTTTTGGAATCAACGTTGGAGAAAGTAGAATTCTTTAGTGTTTGAAATAGAGACGTTGTAAAATATAAACTGAAGAAACTAATGGTGGAGACTATATTCGTAAATTGTTTATCAGAGAAGACTGAAATCGAATATTTAATTTTATACTTTGAAATCAAGTCAATAGGAATGTATCAATGATATCACTATATTTTAGAATATAGTGATAGTAGAAACAAATGTATCTTCACTCAACACTGGAGTTACAGACGTTCTTCTACACTTTATTCTATTGTTAAAAATTTAAACATTTAAATTTTCACATTTAAACATTGAAAATTAAAAATTTTAACCTATTGTTAATAAGTAATCTTCAGCTCTAACAAATAATTGCAATACCAAACTAAATACCTTCACACAGGGGAATAAAGCTTCACTCACTGCTTCCTATAACATTAGGTAAAAATGAACAACATATGAGTCGCTCACTGACCTAATCGATTAACTCCACTTTTCGAATTTGTTAAAATTTGATCGTTAAATCGTCTCATTGACTCTTTACTTCTCATGCCTAAACTACAATTTCTTATCTTCTCATCACGAAATAAAAATTCTTTTAGCCACGCAGACTTGCAATAATAATAAAAACCACTTCAAAGTTGTACTATTTTATACACCTCAAATATTCGTTAGATTAAAGCAACTATAACAATGAAACACAAACACATTCCTTAGTGATTACTCAATTTCCTATTTAAAAGGAAACTAAAAATAAAAGTTTAGCTATTGCATCACTTTTCTCCACTGTTTGTCTTGCGGAGTTAACCGATTTATCTAATGAAGTGCTGATATGTCACTCGATATACTCAACAAGTTCTTTCTACCTACTTATCCAATCAGAAGCTACCTCCGGGCGCGGAAAACCTAACCGGAAGAGCGACCGAGTGAAATTGAAAACCCTGGGAGCGTTTCCCGGTTTCGTACACTCCATTACACACTGCTCGAAGTATATTATTTACCACTAAAGAGAGATGTATGATCGGAGGTACATACGTTGACCCGTGCACGCGTTCATGTCCATCGGATTGGGTGCTCTAAGGGCGACCAATCGATGTCGGAGGGACTGGTCGTCCACCGGGAGTCGACCGGCAGACCACTCCGGGTTACTGGGGCATGCCGTAACAGTACGACAAGAAAGAAGCCAAAAAACTTGCGTTTGCTATCACGAAGCTGGCGGGCATTCGCGAAACGCCGTCCAGTGGTCGATTCCGAGCTTCCTCGTCGCGAGCACCATCGATACAGTTACGAAACCAGTCGTCACGAGGCCGGCTGATTACAACAATTACGTTTTCGTTCCGCGAGTGGAAACGGTTTCTTTGATCCGTTTACGTTGCGACTACCCCCCCCCAACTCTCTCTCTGCGCGACGACCTTTCTGCTGTTATTGGAATACGTTGCTGATCGTTGAGTTATTAATACCTCGACAAAATGGTATTGTCGTTTATGAATAAAGAAATTGATTGCGAGAGCGTTTCGCTTTTAGCGGTTACAGAATTAATTAAATTGATTAAAAACGTTCTTCGCGAGGATGTTTCCCTTTTATTGTTAAAGTATTAATTAAATCAATTAAAAATATTTGTTTGAGAGAGCGTTTCTCTCGTTGTTGGAGAATTAATTAAACGCATCTGTAACTGGTGTGTTTAATGATAAAGTTCTCTTGAAATTGACGCTGCGACGAAGTTAAATATTTGGCAAATTTCTGTTGCACGTGAAAGAATTATTGACACTTTGTAGGTACAGATTTGTTCAAAATGTAAATTATGCAGAGCGTAAAGTTTAATGAAATCCGATGCGTAAATTGATCGGGTAGAGATATATATTTTATCGACCTTTTACTGAGTTCCCCATTTTATATGCAGCTGCGTCTGTTTGATATTGCATTTAAAAATTTTGCGGAAATTTTGAGCATTCCATAATGTTCGATAATTTATTCGCGTTCCCTGAATCGTCGACTTCAACGATGTTATCGCAGTAATTCAATCTAGTGAATTTTCGAATTTCAAACTGTCTTTCACAGTTTCGGTTAATTCCCTTCAAGAAGAATTGTAGAACCAGAATATATAATTTTATAATCGGCAATATACTTCAGAAACTATTTACATTTTTTTCTTTTCTATTATCTATACAGAGAATTAAAAAAATCTGAATCGATAACCTGCATCTAGTTCGCCATTTTATCTGCCACCTTACCAAACATACATCCCTCAGTTTATTCTCGATGTAACAATGCTATCAACATAACAGGAAACGATTTACAATACCATCGACACCATGACAATTATGGATCTCAAAAATTGCTTTACATTGAAATTCCAATAGAGCCATTAAACCCTCTCCCAACACTATTTTCTTACACTATTCGTTTACGAGGCAACCGCCGGCCAATGCGCGACCACCCTCCATCCACGCACACATAGTCGAAGCGCTCGGCACCGTAAATGGGTTAACGACCGTTGCAAATCAGAACTGGTGACGTTTCGGCGTTAAACAAAGCAATTTTCTTACCGTTCGCCGCTGGAAAATTCGCGGATGGGAAAATAACGGAACCTGACGTCGCCACGGTGGCTCCTCTCTAACACATTTCGTTGATTGGAAAGAAATCACGTGCTCTCACACAACAACTCGGCTAAAGCCTAGTCCAGATTGACAGGCGATCGTCCGCGAACACGTGTCCGCGGACAATCCGCAAATAACGGGAGATAGAACTCAAGTTCAGTAACAGTTCGCTAATAAATATTGGTCTGTATTTTATTTTCCGTTCGAATAGAAGGCTATTGGCAGAGGATATACTGAAAAATCCTTTTTTAAAGTTTACCGTGCGAGGTGTATTTACTGTATCATCTGCATTAAAACAATTTCGGAAAAGTTGTACATCAATGTTCGAACATTTGACGAAATATTCTTAATACTTTGAACTGTTGTAACTTTGTAACAAAAAATCGTACAGCATGTATCAGATGGTCATTGTAAAAAGAAGATTTGATTCTTGAAGACCATGGTAGATTGACTTATGCAAACAATTTTTCAGAATCTGTAGAGTCGTTTGAACTACACAATTCAAATAAAGAAAAGTACCCATTCTCGCCTATTTGGTACATGATGCAATACTTCTTTGAAAAAAGCGGAACCTTGAAAAAAACGATATTTTCACAAACATATAACAATTGAAAGTACTGACAACTTCTCGATAAACACTCGAACACTTTCGTCAATCACTGTATTTAGAGTAGGTATCAACAAACAATGTCTACCAATCAGAACAAGGTCTAACACATTCGCCATCAGCAGTTGCTTTAGTGGCAGTCTTCGAAGTTACTGTATTTCACTAAATGCACCAGATCGTCTTTATAGAATACAAATAAAACATAAAAAGAGAATCTTATTAACTTTCAACACGTTACACCATATCACGATTCAAGCAACAGCGTACACAAAAGTATTTCGCTTTCCTTTGCGAAAACACAGAACGTTGATTGTCATAAACACGTGATGCTAGTAACGAACGCTTTAACACTAAATGTGCCGGCACTTTGCATACACCGATTATCAAAGTAACCACCCGAATGGAAACAAAATAAAAGTAAACAAGTTAGATGATAAATGTTTCTCAATGGAAACAGAAGGAAAGACAAAAATTCAAATCTCGGTCAACGGAGAAATTAATATCAAATTAAATCAACGAGAATTGTAGATCAACTTTTAAACTCGGTCATTCGACCGGTACATTTAGTTTAACATCGAAATGTTTTTTCTAGAAATACTCCAAATTTTCCAATGAAATACGATATTCTTCGAATACAACTAATGTGAAAACACGCGTAAATTAAGGAACCAGGCTATTTTACTGTACAAAGCTTAATTCTACATAAGACTTTATAATATTGCTATATCGAATCAAGTGGTGACTAAGGGTTACCTCTCAAATGCAAAGGGTTAATCACTACAAACACCAGACGCGAAAGGATCAGCCGACATTATGCGTCGCGACGATACGCACGAGCAAATACCGACGCGCGACCCGGCACGCGGCAACATACTGACCGTGGTGGACAGTAGTCGTCGGCGATCACGGAAGGCGAAAGTAAATCACCGACCCCGTTCGATCCGCTCGTCGAAACCCTCGGCTTCGTCTCATTTCACACAGCCAGTACCAACGGACTCGGCCGATACGGATATCTCTTCGGAGCGACGCGTTATCAAACATACGATCCGTCGCGCGATCTCAAACGGATGCGTCTGCGCGAATTATACGAACCGTTTCCCGTAACTGCGTCGATTATCAGTAGCTTGACAGTTTGAATATCGTGGTGGTCACCGGTGGCCGGCGCTCGATTTTCCGATAACCCTGTGCGAGTCACCGGCGACTGCCAGTTAAATGAAATTACAGCAATTCGTCCTAGTATATGATAATTGTTCGCAGACTTATCGAAGTTATGAACGATGTGATTGCACAACGGTGACATTCAAGGAGATAAACGTGCAAATGATAATACAATTCAATTGAATAATCTTATATTATATTCTTTGTGTTATGTATACATCATTTCGTGAATCTTTAGAAGCTCAGTAAAGACAAAGAGAAATTTAATGTATTAAACGGATGAAGAAAGATAACGATAGAATGACTTGATTTTGAACTTGTTGCATTATGGATATTTCGTGAAATATTCGGAAGCTTGGTAGAAACAAATGAGAGTCGTTTGGTATGTAACGTGATTGGTTATGGATGAATATATTTTGAAAAAGTGAGATGGAATTTTCGAAAAATCTCTGATTCGTGGTTAATGGATGTGAATAATGATGTTAAAGTGAGGTTTTAATGTGCTTCCTGTGTCAGTATTACGATTCCATGGTGGTGAACGTTACGTAGTTGGGAAAACACGTGAAAAACATGCGGGAGACGGAGCGAAGGAACTACCGGTGAGAACGTAAAAGATCGCGATTATCGCGCAACTGAAAAATCACTTGGAAATCGCTGTAGTAAACCGAGGGCGAGGTTTTAGCGACAGAGCTTAACTCGCGAATAACGCGAGCTGTAGGGTGGTTCAGTGCGAAGTGTTTGTTCGCTAGTCTCGCAAAGACCGCGAACATAGGGAATTCGAGAATCATTTGATGTTTACGTCGCTTTGCCAATTGATCGAAGTAATTTCAATGTGTACCTTTGTTCTGGAATTGCGTTATATCAATCTCTGATTCATTGTTTTTGTGACACTCATTCTGTTTAATGTGATTATGAAATATCTTCTGTACACACTTCGTTATCGGCGTAATATTGTTCATTACGATTCTTCGGATAATCGTTTCCGATGTATTTGCACATGATAATTCGATGTAAAAGTAACTTCTGCGTACACTTGAGTATTGACCAATTGTTATTTACTTATGTAAGTTGTTTTAAATGAGATTAATAAACTCGTTTCGATATATGTACGTCAAGATGTGCCAATTTTAATCCTGTTCACTTTTGTA